CTGGGGGCCTGTCACAGCAGCTGGCTGCACTTGCGTCCTCAGTCGCCCCCAGGAACACCCCCCATCCTACGCATAAGCCTCAGAGCATAACATTCCCGGGGGTACAACAGCCTGCACCAAGGGACAGAGGGAGTAATGCACCTCACAGCGACAGCCGAGCACCACAGCTCCCCGGCAGGGAGTTGCACTGGTGTGGGGGGCCGTGCTGGGACACAGCCGAGCTAAGCCTGTTAACAGCAGTTTCACCTATGCAAGGATTAGCATTCATTCTATGGAGATCTGCAAAACCAAAAATGCTAGTTCACGCAGCCTGCTTCTATTTTGCAGTTACTAGGTCAGTGGAACTGTTTAGCGGGGATGCCAGAAGAAAATAATTCTTCAGCCACGGTACCGTGTGGTACTGGTGCCGACCTCCATTAGTCCTCTGGTTAACACTGCTCTGGGTGGTGTAGCGGGAAGAATACACGCACCATAATACACAATCTTGTCATATCACAAGTCAGCTTAACTCCTTCAGAAGCTACGTGTTTCATGCCTGTTAAAATAACAGCTGGATTTAGTCCTTTCTGTGGGTCAGAGTGGAATTAGAGTTGTGGGATTAGTTATAAAGCCTAGTTACATGTCTCAGCAGGTGTTCTGAATAGATTTAAGTCTTTAAAAACTGGGAGAGGAAGGGGAAAATGTATAAAGCATAGCTTTGCATACCATTTATCTGGTGATAAATTAATTGCTGAAGCACCTGTATCACTATCAGTGTTGTACAAATAGTATGACATTCCAACACAAGGTTCATGATTCCTCTACTGAGAGGTTTGGAAGGAAGCTTTTCTTCATAGTGAAAAGCTACTGAGTTAATTTTTAAAAAAACAAAAGCTAAGAAAAACCTCACCTTTAAGCAATGAGCTAGCAGAACAGAGTTTGAATTTTGTGTACCAGAAACTTTAAAGCATTGGCTAGTACACAGAAATAATATGAGGTCAGGAAAGCTTTATTGCTTTTGTTACTGTAAGTGTCTGTCAGCAATCACTCCGAGTTGACCTGACTTGAATTTTGCTGGAGAAAGCCACCTATTTTTCTCCTACAGGTTGCAAAAAAGTTCTTGTTTATTCGAGCACTATGGAAGAGGTGAGAATACTGTTATAAAGGCAAACCTACAAGCACTAGCTGATTATTTTTCACTTGCCCATACTGCATTTCTTGATTACACTTGTTAATAAGGCAGGGGAGTGTAGGGCCACTGAATTTAGCCATTATGTCATGATCTAACATTGCTAGGTTTTTATTTACTGTTGGGACTTCAATTTTAACCCAGTAGTTGGTCATAATTACTTCCTGTCCTGTATGCAGCATGTTCTACGAGATGCATGGTAAACTTGCTGGAGGGGGTAACATGCCAGATCTTCGGCAAGAGGCAAGTAATGCAAGCAGACTTAAATTCAACCTCATGTTAGGCCTGTAGCACTGAGATACACGCAGTGCCTGCCTGCCTCGTGCTCCTGTTCCAAGAGCGTGGATGCAGTTAGAACTGACTTTCTGTACAGATAAGGGTTGTTACGGTCTGCAGTGCAGGGTATGTTTTCTCCAGTTAAAATTAAGGGGTTTTCCTCCAACAGCCAAATCAGCTTAGAGGTTTATGAAACAAACTGATAGCTTAATCAGATCCTGATACTCAGGAGTAATTGAAGAGGCATTTTCCTTCTGAAGGGGGGAAAAATTAAAAGCTTATTTTTGTTAAAATAAGCTTTTCTTCTTTGACAGTCTCATACTTCCAGGCTCAAGGATTTACTTGATTAAGATACCAGAGGTATTGGAAGCACCAGTAGCTATTCTTTTGTCTTAAGGAAAATCAGTTAGTGAAGTTACTCAGTCTGACTTAATAATTTTACTTTTCCAGGTAAGAGGCAAAGGCAGCACAGATAGGGCAAGTGGTTAAGTTCTGTTTCAGGATGAGAGTTGGAAGCTTTATTGTCTTGATGTAAGCAGAGACAAGGCCTGAAGAGAAGAGGGTGATGGGGCTGGTCTGCTTGGACTTGCATGTTGCTAATATCACTAAGTAGTATGCTTGAGGAACATCATTCTAGGTGTTCTTTACCCCAAAGCCAAGAATAATCTTGCAAAATAGTTACTTAGCACAGAGAGTCATCCTCTAACCAGCTATGAATTTGTAGTTTGACCTTGGAAGCAGGTTAAGAATATTTACGTAAGCGTTCCTGAAGAAACACTTTTTATTTGTGTGTATGGCATGCATTGCCCAATTGTGGCAAACCTACTTATAAAATCCTCTTATAAGCAACAAATTTGAGGGTTTCTATAGAAGATAAATAACAGCGATATACATTCAAGCCTAGCCAATTAAGAACTTCCACTTATTTCTGCTCATCTTCAATCATCCCCACATCAGTTGGGCATAAGCTCAACTCATGGAGCTTTTCCCCATGAATAGTGCATTTGGAGTTAACCATGCCAAACCAGTTTCCAGGCAAGGGTTCTTTGGCTCACTGCATTATGCATTTAGCTTAATTATATCTGGCTTTAGCTGAGGAGATCTTAAAAACCAAGAACTCTTAGCTGAAGCATACATAAACATAAGTTACATTGTTTGCTCTAAGGTGAGGCATTAGTCGTAACTTGTCATCTTTTTATTAACAGGTGGTTCATTAACCAAGTTGGCTTATTATTCAACTGTGCAGCACAAAGTGGCAAGAGTGAGATCCTTTGATCATTCTGGAAAGGTAAGAATTGCATCATTAATCAGCTGCATGCAATTGACTCCTAAGAGTGAAGTACTGGACTGGCTTCTCATAGTGGAACAGAAATTTCATCCGAAACCCCTAGTAACTTGTTCTGTATAAAACTTTACTTAGAACTTTCTTCTAGTTTAAGTATGACCTTCTGTAGCATCTGTTACTCTGAAGTAAGTTGTCACAACTGAAATGTGTATTTTAAACACATTCTAGTATATACTAACGCTTACAGCCATTCCTAAGCATTTGTACTGCAGCTCAGAGGAGTGCGTGGCTCCTGTTAATAACCCTTTGCTAGATTCCAGGGGAAATTAGCCATTAGCATGGGTTTGGCAATTACTTTTGCTTTGCAAGCTTAATATAGCTCTAGATCTAAATTCATGTGATGATACATCATAGAATCATAGAATGTTTTGGGTTGGAAGGGACCACTAGTGGTCATCTAGTCCAACCCCCCTGCAGTGAGCAGGGACACTGCTAACTAGATCAGGTTGCTCAGAGCCCCGTCCAACCTGGCCTTGAATGTTCCCAGGGATGGGGCCTCCACCCCCTCTCTGGGCAACCTGTTCCAGTGTTTTACTACCCTCATTGTAAAAAATTTCTTCCTTACCTCTAGCCTGAACCTACCCTGTTCTAGTTTAAAACCATTTCCCCTTGTCCTAACACAGCTGGCCCTACTAAAAAGACGTTCCCCATCTTTCCTATAGGCCCCCTTTAGGTACTGGAACATGTTCTCTTTACTGAAAGACTGACTGCAGGGCTTCAGGCTTGGACAGCCCATGCACAGGCAAACTCAGTTACGTTCCTTGCCTTCTTGGAAGTGCTTGAATTGCCAGTTCAGTGTTTGAAATAGTTATTTTCTAGACAGATAAGTACGTTACTTTTGAGAAAACCATACTTCCATGTAAGCATAGCTTTTCTCATATAGAAATACTTCATGCGTGTCTAATGCATGGGAGAATTGATTATATTCTCAAGGAGTATTAAGATCTGTTGAAACTATATTCTTTGAAATTTTAATAGCATTAACACCGTTTCAAGGCAAAGGAAGCACAGGTTTTGATGTTCAGTAGTTTAGCATATAACCTTGTTTCTCGAGGAAGGATTTTGAATGATCTATAAGAAATTCTTTTCTCTTTTAAAGGACATAGAAAATGAACCTTTGTATGAAATATCGGTTCAGGAGGAGATTACAGCTCGACTTCACTTCATTAAGTTTGAAAACACTTATATCGAAACCTGCCTAGATTTCATCAAAGACCATCTTGTCAATACAGAGACAAAAGTCATCAAAGCTACAGGTGGTGGTGCCTATAAATTCAAAGATCTTATTGAGAAGAAATTGGGGTTGAAGTAAGTGGAACTGCTTGAACTTAGCTGTAGGAGTGTATTTCTTGTTTGAAGCGATTTTACTAGGCTAACTTTCCACTTTGCCCATCTGTCCTCAAAAGCCATCTACACTGCAGCAGTGAAGCAGTAGAATGTATGGATGCCTCTTGGTCAGACCAGGCTGTATTGACTTGTTAGTGACCATAAGCTGCACAAAGATAACTGTATCATTACTGACACGCTAGAGGTGCGGGAATAGAGCCAACAGAAGGGAACACAGGGTTCAGGAGAAAGACAGTAAGAAGAGGAAAGCAGGGTATTATCACAGCTTTTCTCTATAAAGGATCTAACTTGCACCTACTCCATTTTTAAGTTAAATTGGTCTCTTATCATGATTATGGTAATGGCTTTTACTTTTCGCCCCACAACTATCAGTATTTCAGTGATGGTATCTGAGCTGTCAGTAGCACACTTTGGATGTACTGTTGAATGCCACTGGAGTAGAGATCCACATGCACAAAACATACAGTAGTATATAACATGAAGTAATATTTGAAGTATAGTAGTGGGCAAATTCATTACTAACAAGAATTTTAATTGAAAATCTTTGATCAGTTACTGTGATGAGGTGCATTTAAATGTGTCAGTCTTTCTACTAAAAGTCTAAGGATGAAACCCACAAGATGACTTTGTTGTTAGAAGCCAAAATATTGTTGGCAGACTTTTTTTTTTTTCCTGGATGTATCTAATCTATAGTTGCCTAGGTTCTCAAGTTAGGGTTCCAAAAGCTTCTAACACTTTTCTGTGCTTGCTCAGAAGTAATTAATACGATACAGTAGCTTACCACATAGCTCCTACCTAAACTGCATGCAGAAGGATAGGCTTGCAGGAGACTAAAGGACAGTCTCATGAATTTACAGCCTTATAAATTTACCACTCAAACATCTTTATCAAACACCATATGCTAAAAAACTGCTGTAAGCGTAGATAAAAATAGCATTAATTTATACTAATGTAAAACATTACCTGATGTTGCTGAGAACTTCAAGGTACCTCCCATGCTGCAATTCTACCTAGTACACACTACAATCTCCAAGGTGCTGCGTTCATCTTGTTTTATACTACTTTTTCAAATAACTTTCTTCTTCTGATAGGTAGGATTCTGTTAATTTTTTTTCAAACCAGCCCACATCAGTACCTTATTGGCTGTTACTAAGTATCAATTAATCAAGACCAGGAGGCAGTTACCCCCTTTTCTCATGTGGTGCACCTGGTTTTTGTTTCTTTGGCTTTTATTTGCTAATGACATACTTGATTGGTCCACAGGCCCAGCAAGCAGCACCTTCTCCATCCTGACAAACATAAAGCATTTTGCATTAATTGAGATGTATATTTGTGCTTTGTTTCTGTGTTTTCAACAAGGCTTATGATATTTCATGTAAGAAATTTAGTGTATTTCATTTAAGAAATTTGCCACAAATCAGTAATAATACATAAGATATAGAAGTGGACAGAAGTCACTGACTGTTAGCTGACTTAACTCCATCACTCTTCTAAATCATATGTCATGTTCCTAGACTCCATACTCAGGATATATACTGTTGTGAATCCTATTATTCTTGTGAGAAGTGTTTTTTCCTGTGTTTAGTAACCCCAGAAGTAGGCTCCTCGCAGTCACTTTAATCTGTCATAAACAAGTGCTGAAATGTTGAGCGGAGGCTTTTTTCCTTGATTGGGAAGGAAGGGGAAGAGCAACAGAAAACTGTTCTGTGTAAGGGAATTTGTTTGTTATGTTCATTTCCAAATAAGTTTCCAAACCCACCTTATTGCAGGGGTGCACATGTACTTGTGCTAGCGCTAGGGCGCTAAAGAGGCAGTGTAAACAAGCAAACCGGGAACAGGATTATTCCTGATGACAGCATGATTAATGTAAGATGAAAGTTACTGTGTAACTACAGCCTAACTTAGGACTGTGTGTGCTGGCATGGAAGGTGAACATCAGAACATATGCAGATGTAGGTTTCATGTTTTAGGAGATCTGGACTTGTGCCGTGTGGTGTGGGTTACTATCTCCTGGTTGTAAAGGCTTTAAGAACTACTGTTCTAAAAGCATACTTGCTTATCAATAGGACTATGACATTTATGTAAGGGTGTTTTTTCTCCCTCTTCATCTCAGAGTAGATAAAGAAGATGTAATGACCTGCCTAATTAAAGGATGCAACTTCGTGCTAAGGAACATACCCCATGAAGTGTTTGCATACCAGAAAGATTCAGATACAGAATTCCGATTTCAGACAAACCACCCAAATATTTTTCCTTATTTACTGGTGAATATTGGCTCTGGGGTTTCTATAGTGAAGGTGAGTGGTTGCTAAAATGTTTTTCTGTAGAATTTGATAATGGTGATCTGAAACATTGTTTTAGATTTGTAATTGTTTCTTCTTGGGTAATAAAAAAAAATCATTATTTTATTTCTGAACTTTTTAATTTCCATTTCTTACAGAGTTATGAATGCTTTTCCATTCACTACCATAGTTTCCTTTTAATCCCACTTAATTCAGTGTTTAGAGAAGTTATGTTAACTGATGAGGACGCAGGCTGTCACCCTGTTGAGGGGACCAAATTTGATGTCTATATTTAGGATTATTGGCCAAGAATTAAATACAAATATTTCAGATACTGCTTGTGACATAAGTATGTGGAACGTGTACCTCTGGAGAACTTCTTGCCTGACATTTATACAATTGAATAGTTCTGCCTACACTAATATCACTGTTCAAAAAAACTTGCATGATCTCATATATAACCGTGTTTATAGTTATAATAGGACTTTCTAGACAAATCTGCCTTGGTTTGTTGACAGGTAGAAACAGAAGACAAATTCGAATGGATCGGAGGGAGCTCAATTGGAGGTGGAACCTTCTGGGGTCTTGGAGCACTGCTCACAAAAACAAAGGTATCGGAGTGTCAGCCTTAAGGGGCGTGGGATTAAATGAGATGCTAAGAGGAAGCTTGAAATGTTGGAACACCAAACTCTTTGGATAGGGAGAAAATTATTTTACGTAACTTTTATATGGGAAACAAGAAGTCCAACATTAGTGTACCAGATGAAAAAAATGTGTGTCTCTTGGGGGGCGTGTGTGTCAGAAGTCCAACATTAGTGTACCAGAAGATGAAAAAAAATGTGTGTCTCTTGGGGGGCGTGTGTGTGTTACCTTTTATTCAAAGAATTGCTGCCCTTGTGCAGAGCCAGAACAGGCAGTTCTGCAACACTCAGGACAATTTTAATACTCTCCATTAGGTGCTTGTGGTCTTAGACTGTTAGATAACAAGGCCGAGTCCTTGATTTATGTTCATATTTTTGATGCTTCTGATGCATAAAAGGAAGCTTTAAATGTAAAAAGATACTGGTAGAATATAGGGACAAAAATGATACGATGCTCATCGGTGGCAAAATAGTGATCCTGCTTGGGACTCAAGGAGTTTGTCAACAAGGACAAATAGTGTCTGTAAAGCAGAGAATAGCCTTCTCAAAGTGGCCTGTTAATTTTCTGTACTCTTTGTCAACATGAAATGCCTGCCTAGTTCCTGCAATATTATCTGCAGAAGCAAAGCAGAGAGCACACGATTACTGGAAAATGTCTGGGAGTAGAGAGGAGGAATTCTGTCTCCCTTTGTTACACATTACGGTTCCAGGGGTTTGTCACTTAAATCCCAGGTTGGTAATCTGCCAGAATAAGGCCTGATTTAGTACTGCTCTGCCTAACTCAGCTCTTAAATCATGCTGTTTTTTCCTGTCTCAAAGATCCATGTGGCTTAAATAGGTGTCCCTAAATGTCAGTAGTGTAGAAAAAGCTAGAGTTACATATGCACCAAATAAGAAAATGTCAAAGGGAAGACCCATACTTGCAGTGTTTTGTTTGATGCTTTTAAAAAAAGAAATCTTAGAACATGACAGTATCGGTTCTTAATTCTTGCTGATTTTGTAAAAGAAGAAATTAGGGTTAACAGACTCATAAATTAAGTATTCGTATAACGCAGATTGCATGCAAGTTTAATTTCAGGGACACTAATGCGTTTCTGCAACAGTAAAGGCAGACTTGGTCTTTTGGTTTTTAAACGTTTTTTTTCTTATGCCCCAAGAAGACAGAATTCTGTTTGCTCTTAGTTACTGTGTTTCTGAGCTCATTCCAAGATAAGAGATGCAGGAGGCTTCTGACTATTTTAAATGTGCTGATCCAGCTCTAGTTTTCAGGGGAAATGCAACAAATTATTTGCAGATAACTGAAGAGGATGCTTGTGCTTTTCATCATGAAGGGAGCTCCACTTAAGATCAGTCTGTCTGATAAGATATGGACTCTGAATAAGTCCTTGTAATTAGAAATAATGTATCTTTTGCTGGCAGGGTTGATTCTAAGACAAGCCAAAACCCCCAGGTTTGGTCAGTAAAGATGCTGCAGAGCTCTGGGTTTACGGGCAAGGTCATCTAGCTGTCCAGGAAAGCTGGAGTAACTCTGCTTCTCACCCTCAGAAATTCGATGAATTGCTGCAACTCGCTTCAAAGGGACAGCACACAAACGTAGACATGCTGGTGAAAGATGTGTATGGAGGAGCCTACCAGACCCTGGGGCTAAGTGGAAATCTGATAGCAAGCAGCTTCGGGAAATCTACTACAGCAGATAAAGGTATTGGTATATAAAAGATCTATCCAAGATTTGCTGTACAGTTAAGACTTTATATTGCCTGTCAGCATGGATTTGCTGCTTGTGCCAGCTTCCTGTGAACACTTAAATGGATGGAAAAACAGTTGCCAGCTTCATCAGCATAAACATACCTTATCTATTTCCCTATGTTATGCATGCTGGGCTAAGAGGGGACACGGAACATTTGGAGCTGTTGTTTGAAACTAATGAGAAGTGCAACCATCTTTTCTGGTCCTTGGGAATCTGATGTTTATAATGATCTAATAAGCAGAGCTGGGCCAGTCCTTTTCATGATCTTGCCTACATGTGTTTTTCCTGCGCAATATTTTATTTATTAAAAATATTATATAGTACTATCTTACAAGCAGGCATTCAAATTTTCAGTTTGGGATTGCATAAGTCTAGGCAAATGACAAAAATAGGTGTGAAGTTAGCTCAGTGTTAATTCATTCCTGTGGGAAATAAATGTGGCTTTCTTGGTCCTGAAAAGGACCTATGGCAGTGATTTACTATAATTTGCAATTTTATTTACAGTATTGTAATAAAATGCTTGCAGTGTGCCTCAGGTCAAGATGGGTGGATGAACCATCATCCGTAGTTCTTAGAGAGAAGAAATGGAGTTCTCTCCATTCGCTGTTGGCCTTTCAAGCAGGTTTCTTTCAAGCAATATTTCACAGAGGCTTAGTGATTTTTTTCATGATAACTTCAGTCAAATACATACTCCTTGTTGTTTGAAGTACTTTTTTTATAAAAGATTTTTGGCGGGGTGGGGGGAACACCTCTCTTCTATGCACATGAAGAGACTGGTCAAACTCCTTTTTTTTTTTTTTTTTTTCCTCCAGCTGTAGGCTATCTCTTAGGGAAGTGCAGTCCATCTGAGCATTCTTCAGCTGTGTTTAATTTGGTTTGCTATTTCTTTCCTTTAAGAATTTTCCAAAGAAGATATGGCAAAAAGTTTACTACATATGATCAGCAATGACATTGGTCAACTCGCCTGCCTCTATGCCAAACTCCATAACTTAGATAAAATATATTTTGGCGGATTCTTTATTCGGGGTCACCCTGTTACTATGCGCACAATAACCTACAGTATCAACTTCTTCTCCAAGGTAATGAAAACAGAGATTTTCCTTATAGCAAAGTCACGCGTTTAGTTATCTTTCTAGGTTGTTGGGAGACTTTTAATAAATGAATTTGCACATGAAGTAAGCTTAGAGGGCTGCTGTTGAGGTAGGTAAGGCAGGGCTATAAAGATCTATTGTGGGAGGGGTAAAATCAATGTGAATTCCCTGGGAGTTCTGTCTGGCCCCTCTTTCTCTCTCCTTCCCTCCCTCTCTCTCTTTATTATTATTTTTTGATTGACAGTCTGTCTTGTAGCTGCCAAGTAATGAGTTTTCACTATTTTCTTAGATAGCTGCCATTGTTATTCAATTCCTCTTGCTGACTTGCATCTATTTCTTTTCACCCCCTAGGCTATGCAATGTGGGATTGTTCTGCTGAGATAGTTAGCATCAGTGGGGGGGTGTGAGTTGATTTTTGTTGTTTAAAAAAAACAAAAACAAAAACCCAAACCCAAAACAACCAAGCTGTAGTTCTTTGTAGGTTTTGAAGCTGTGGAAAATACTGAAGTTTTTTCACTAGAAATACTGTCAAATCCAAAAGCTCAATTAATGGTTGTTACAGGTAGATTAGTTCCTGCACTTTTGCAATTTTATAGAATAGATGACACAATTTTTTTTCTGATGTCAGTGCTTCAGGCAAGAGACTCCTGAATGCTGCTTTTTCCCCCCTTTATTTCGCCATTGCAGTCCCTTTCTGGAAAACTGTGTTCAGTTTCAAGAAAACTATTGCAAAACTACAGCTTTAGATTCTTGTGAGAATAGCTTTATCAGTGATTCAAATCCAAACCTCACCGAATTGTAGCTGATCTTTTACTATAGCTTACCTCAGTGTTAAGTGTTCTTGTAGTCGCTGCTGCAGACGTAGCTGATTGTCCTTTGGAGAAGGCTGTGTCTCACCCAGCCTCGCCTAGGAAAGCTGAGGGACCCCGCTGCTAGCATGGAGGGTGCTCTTATTCTCCCTAGCTTTTGTGTATTATATTAACAATTAAACTAACTAATTCAATGGGGGAAATGCTTGCCTATGGATAATACGCAGGGTGTCTGTATGCTGTTGAACGTTAAATAGCAGTGTAACGGAATAAAGATACTGAGCAATGCCTTGAATGCGTTGGACGCACGGTGGCACACGCTTACGCTGATGACCTGGAATCAGGTGACCTTATATTTCCAGCCTGTTCAAGCAAGAGGAGTTGAATATTCATGGAATGATGCAGTGGTCTTTTCTAGTGAAGGCACTGGCTTCCCTCTGCTTCTGGGGTTGTGCAGGCTTAGAATACGCACCACTTCTGCATGTATTTTTTTTCCCCGGCTGTTTAAGAATTGTGGAATGATGTATGTAAGCAGTTCCTCCTGAAGCTGTGTTTCAGGGGCACCATTACAGTTACTAAATGTGTTAGAATGTAGCACAAATTAATATTACCATCTTCAGGTTGTTTCTATTAAGTTTAAGTGTAAAACTAGTGACAAAGAAGTACATATTAGCCATCAGGGACCATCCAATTGCAATGTTTCATATTGTGGCAGGGAGAGGTTCAGGCATTGTTCCTGAGACATGAAGGCTACCTGGGAGCCATTGGGGCATTTTTAAAAGGAGCTGAACAAGACAGTAAGTACAGCACTGCTATGTTCTGTATATGCTGTGTTCTGAAATGTCAGTGTAATGTCCAAGTTTCTCTTAAGAGGCTGCATGTAAGTTGTTGCCTAAATAAATACATTTGGCACTAATAAACGCAGATGCTGGGCTTTGGTTTTATGTATTCTGGCAGGGACATCTTAATTTCTCACTGGTTTTCCTGCTCGCCTTTGAGAAGCCAGCAGGATTTGGCTCTCTTCTGCATTTCTGCAAAGAGCTGTCATAACTCTAAATCAAACTGGGGAAGCGTGGTTTTTGAGAACTTTCCCCCTCTTTAAGAGGCCAGCTTCTGAATTCAGTTAACGTACTGCAGAAGACCAGCATCTCAAAACTGTGTTCGTTTGAGAGCGAAAAACCTCACAGATATTTATGAAGGATGAGACACTTCTGCCCAGCGTTCTTTTGGTATAGGGTGCTTTGGTTGAATTCTGCCCTGTTTATTTCTTTTATTCTTGTTGATGTACTAGCAAGCCAGTCAGTATATGGGTTGTAGCGGAACACATTGCGAGATTGCTAAGGGTACTTGGTTTTAGTAAATACCAAATATACCTCAGAATAATGGATGTGGAATTCTTTTCATGCCCATTTTATAGATATGGGCAAAGAACCAGCTACTGAGGAATTAAAGAAGTTGCTTCTGCAGCAAATACTGTACATCTGAACTTGATTAAAATTTTCTCAAATAAAAAAAAATTCTAGAAGTAGCTTTAGTGTTTATATGAAATTTACCCTGTGCTTTGAGAGTTTTGTAATTATATTTTGTTAATAATGGATCTAGATTTAGAAATAGGAAATACTATACTAGTGATAGTGCTTTGAAGGCATGCTGGTTATAGCCCTTAATGACAAAGGAAAGGGGGTTAAAAAAAAAGGGTGATTTTAGAACTTCAGTTGTCATATGTCTCATTCAGGTTGAAGCTCTTCAAAGCTAGGTAATTCACTGAGTGGCTGAAACATTTCTTTTGAGGGTTAGAGGGAAAAATTATGTTTACTTATAAAGACAGGGGAAGATGTTTTTTGTAGTGAAGCAGCTTCTCTGAAGGGATGCTGACTCTAGACTCACTCACGAGAGTATTTTCAGTTTTATTTTCAGATTATGTGTGTCTCTGTCTTTCTCTTTTCTAGATCCAAATCAGTATAGCTGGGGAGAGAATTATGCTGGGAGTTCTGGTCTAATGAGCACATCACCTGATGTTTACCCTATGCAGAGAACAAGGAGTGGTACAGTATGTGGTTGTCTTTCCTAGAACTAATTCTCTTAGTAACGGTGATTTGAAAATAGATAATTATTCTCAAGCTAGTTGCTTCTTGCCCTGGGACTCCTGCTTACCGAAAGAAGTGACTGATAGTGTCTTGTGCCATGTGTGATGTCTTCTGTCTTGTGTGATGGTTTGATGTAATGTCTCATAAAACCAGATTGTGACTGCTACTTTGTCTTATTCTCCTTCACCAAAGCAGAGGGGGGAACATTCATTTCTTACCCTTTCTCTGAAGTAGCTGGATTTTGCTACAGTTGAAATATTGTGCTTCAGAATTTTGAATCTGATGTTTCACTGTCTTTAAGCAGCGTTTATTTACTTCCTATGAGAAGAGAAATATATAACTGGACAGAAGAGCATGAGCCCAGTCATCTCTTAAATACACTGACAATACAGTAATTCCGATTTCACAGTGAAACTGGCATACAGTAAGCAATCAGAAAATACATTAAGGTTCTTAAAATATTCTAATACTGCATCTACTGAATTGCTTTTGAAAAGAAGCTAGAATATTGGAGCTCGTGTTTTACTGTCTTTTACTGGTTCACGTGTCAGTGTTTTTCATGTCAAGTTTTTTTAAATTTCCTCCATCATTGATTTATCTCCTAGTTTTCAGGAATTTCCTGTACTTGCTGGAGGCTGCAGGGGCGGGGGGAGCAGGTGTTGGCTTTGGTTAGCTGTTTTCTGTCGGTCGCTGGGCTTTTTTAGGCCTGAAGATGAGGTGCAAAACTCTTACTGAATGGTTTCCCAGACCAAGCCTTAATATAAGTCCCCTGTGAGCTGCAGATGATGGATTTTGTGGGATGTGCCTATATATAAAAATATATATCTAATTTTAAGCTTTGCCATAACTGAAATTACTGTAATGAAATTGTTTATTATAAGTATGACCAAAAAAATAACAACATGATCCTTCTTAATCATAAAATATATGGCAGATTTAAACCTATTTATGCGGATCTACTGATCTCCTGTTGTTTGTCAACCCTTCAGTCTGTGAGAAGATGATTTTGTTTTCATGCTGGCAGTGGTACAGGAGTCTCAAGCCAGCTGATAATGTACTGTCCACAATCTCTCCATTTTGAATTTTTCTATTGCTTGGCACTCACTTTGTTCACACAAAGTGAAATCTCTTGGCAACAATCATAGTTCAGAAATGTCCACTTCTCAGCAGTGAATTAATGCTGAAAACAATCTTTCTATAGCAACCACTTTGGTTTACGGACACAAAATCTTGTTACATTGTGGGCTTTAATCTTTACTGAGCCTGAACGTTTCGGGGCCATGCAGTGTTTGCAAATGCAATGCTATTAAGATAGTTGTATAAAATAATGATAAATGTGCACAGGTGTTTTTTTTAGACACACGAAATAAGGCACACTTTATGTACAGAGCTATGTAACTATACATATTTCACATGAGTTTAATCTCTTCCCTTAGAAATTTGGTCCCAAGCAATGTTTTCCCAAGGTGTAAGGAAAAGTTTTGGAGACTTGAACAGGATTGTAAAAGGAAATTGTAAAGCAGCATAGCAATATTCCTTATGTGTAAAAATAAGCCTGTGCTCAGCTCTTTGTGCTACTGTCTCTGAACCTGATAGCCCAGCAGATTTGACAGTACTGGGGAGGAAGGGAAGGAAAATAGTAAGATAGAGGGCCTATAGTAAGTTCTCAACATGAAACTCAATAATTTCTATCTATAGGGTGGGCATGGATAAATGATCCATGCAGGAGAGTGGATTATTTATGATGGCATGTACTCTAATATAGTTGTCTGCAAATTTGTCAGTCTTAACTGTGGATGGACTTCTGTAGCCCTTGCACTAGTTCAATTTGTTATGAATCAGTTTCTGACTAAGTTCTAATAAATCTCTTTCGTTTTTCACCCAGTTTGACATGCTTGAAATGGATAGGTTGGAGAGACCCCTTGTTAACCTGCCACTGCTGAAAGACCCATCAACCTATATTCCAGACACTGTTGACCTCACAGATGATGCCATGGCCAGAAAATACTGGCTCACCTGCTTTGAGGAGGCGCTGGATGGGGTAAATGTCACAAACCAGTCATATGTATGAATGATGCAAATATTTAGCAAGTAAATCTTCTGCGGACCAATGTGTTTACCCTGCAAAATATCTCTGCTGTGTCAAACCTATTGTGTGTAAATACAGTTCATCTTTCCCCCGTTAACGGAGGCATTTGGCTTTGTCCCAGTCTCCTAGGGAAGTGCTTGATACCTTCAAAGGCAGAGGTATTCTTCTCCTGTGGTGTGTGGGTTTGTTGTTGGGTTTTGGTTTTTTTTTTTTTTTAAGGTGTTTTCAAAGTATCTTGTGTCTTAAATGGCACTTACCACCGCTTTATACAGAGCTGGCAAGCAGGATGGTTACACAATCGAAGGCCAAAAAGGCAAAGGCCAAAAATACTGCCTTGCTCTCACTCTTGGGAGCAGTCCTACTTACAGCCACTTTTGCATTCAAAGAGCATGATTTAATTAGACATGAGTTACTTTTTTCTGCACTGTGAAATGGATTCAGTCAGTGCATGGTAGTACTTAAGAGCTACATATACTTAGTAAGCAAATCCAAATCAGAAACTTCATTGACCGTGTGTCAGGAGGAAAAGGGCTGGGAAAAACACAGGAGCAACACATTGACTTGACCTTACTGTAGTAAAGAAAAAAAAAGAGCATGAGGAGTTTTATGTGGACTGTTGAATTTCTTCCTGTTTCTCCTTTTGTGTGTGTGTGTTTGTTATTTTTTTTTTCCCCCTCCTATAAGTTGTTAGAACTTGTGTTTAATTTCTGAAAGTACAGTCTTGAAAATAAACATTAAGTCTTTTGGGGGAAAAAAAAAAAAGAGGTATTTAAAATTATTCTTTGGTGGCTGGAGTGAAGGAAAGCTGGAAGATACTGTGTGGGAGGGACTAGATAGTATGCAGGCACTGAACAGTACAGCAGATGGAGGGGTTATTTTTCAGACTGAACTTCAGATCAGTTACATGGAAGGAGAATTCATTTGATAACTTCAGTCTTGCCTCATTTCTCTACCAGGTGGCAAAACGTGCTGCAGCCAGTCAGCCAGACTCTGTTGATGCACTGGAGAGAGCGGAAAAGTTCCGACAGAAATACTGGAATAAACTCCAGACACTCAGGCAGCAGCCTTTGTAAGTGTCTTTATTTTCCCTTTTTCATCACTTGCTGCTTCTGTTGAGCAGAGCAAATTAAAAGCTGACTAAAAGCTAAATACAAGCTAATTAGGGTTGTGAAGCAGAGCAAACTGAAAGCTGAGTCGGCTGATGTGCCAAACGTCAGGCCCTCTGCACAGAACTTTTGGATCTCGTATATTGGAATTTAATGGAAAAATGTTTCTCGGCAGAAAATTTATTATTAAAAATCGTTACATGGCTATTAAAAATGGTAGCATGCTAATTCAGGTATGTAGCTTTGCTCTGTACATTTTCCCTCCCTGTATTTAAATAAACTGTATAGCAGATCTACCACTTAGAGACAGCATTTAGCATGTGGCAGGTAAAGATTTTTAACATAAGTGCTTGTGTGACGTGCTATGACTTATGGACGAAACAGAGGAGAAAAGAACTTTTTTCTGTTTGAAGTAGTTGATCTTCTAGCGGACTTGGCAGCGCTAAGTTAGTGGTTGGACTTGATGATCTTAAAGGTCTTTTCCAACCTAAACGATTCTGTGATTCTGTCTCTTTTTTTCCCCCCCCTTCTCCCTTTTCAAAGTGCATATGGTACCTTAACAGTTAGAAGTCTTTTGGATACAAGGGAGCACTGTTTAAACGAGTTCAATTTTCCGGATCCCTATTCAAAGGTAAGTTGTTCTTGCTTTACAGGGTGGACAACATGTAAGTTCAAGTCGCTTTTTCCGTACTTTGAAAGTTTGTGTAAGTAATGGCTTTTAGGGGAGGGATTAGAGACTGCCTGCCTTGCAACAGCCTTAACCAGGTGCTGGTTGTCACTGAGGAGGAACAGCAGTGGGTAATGGGATATAAAGCCTTTGACCGCTAACGTGCTCATGGAGGATAATGCTAACCAAAACTATTACCCGCTTCAGTTGTCCGATACATCCGAGAAGCGAGTTGATGGTGTCAGTCCTGTTCCTGACGAGCGCGTGGTGTCTGCCATCAGATACTGTTGTCACTTGCTCCTTCAGCGAGGAGGTGTTTCCTTCGGTTTAGAACTGAGGAAGCTGCATGGGGAACCCTGCACTTCTGATTACAGAGCACCTACAGGTGACCCGAGAATTTCAATTCTGAGGACGGTCAGATTATTTGCCTTTATACTAAGGCTACTACTGCAGTTTGGCAGACTTCAGGAATTTTTCTTTTTTTCTCCTCATTCTCCTAATTCTCTTCATGGTGTGGAAACCATTTTCAAATGTAAAGCTATGTGTAGCTCTGTAAGTACTTTCCAGTAAACATGCAAATTGCAGTCAGTTGTAAAAGACACTTGGCATTATTTTCTTGTAGAGCAGTTAATCTTACAGAGCAGCTAACAACCTCAACAGCTCTGTGCAAAAGTCACCAATGCTATGAACTCACACTTCTGTGTTCCTTTAACTACCTCCAAGTGTGGTTTCTTTTCTTTCCTCACCACTCCCCCACAAAGGAAAGAAAAGGAAGGGGTGGTGTGTTCATGACCAGATAGTCATCCTCCCCCACCTCATCGTGTCCACAAAAGGCCTGAAAAAGCCCCCAAACCTTCACGCATTCCCTTGCTTGCTGAGGCAATCTGTCCTTAAACCAAACTGTGCCGCTTTCCTACGTATTTATTGTCTCTGGATTAATTTACTGCTTTGCTGTAAAAGGGTTCTTGATTACTTTTGTAATTGTTGAGCTACTCAGCAGAGTTGGGTTGGAGTGTATACAAACACATAACCTCTAGCTCTTAAAAATATTTGTTGCCACTGCGCCGCTGTTACTCTTTGTATTTTATTCTGTAACATAATATGGTTGGGGAGAGGACACGTGAAGTCAGTATTTGTCAAAAATAACTTTCTGTATGTCCTCACCACTTGTCTGTGGGGACATATAAATAACAACAGTGCCAGTGTCTGGTTAGAGACCTTTTTCTGACTTTGATACATTTCTACAAAATACAGAGGAGGTTCTCCCTAGCTATATTGTCAGATGGTACATTCATTCTAAAATAGATGTTAAAAAAAAAAGCATGAGGTGGGTTTTACTTATATTTGCTTTTTGGTAATTCAGATAAGATACTGCCAAGAGAAGATCTTGATGTAAAGGTGGAACCCAGCATCACTTTTAAGTTCTTTAAGATAACAAGCCATGTAACGCTAATCTCACTGGAGATAGAAGCGGAGAAAAAAAATTAAGAGCTTCTAAGCAGCTGGGATGATGAAATTCCTGATGCAAAAATAAAAAATAATCTCCAGTTTTTGTAAAACTGATAGTGGTAAGCGTCCTCGTGGTAATCCCCTGGGTTTGATGGATCATGCTACTACTGAATTTTTTTTGTATGTGTCCACTCTCCCATTCCCCAATCTGCTCCAGACCTATTGCACCTCTAACTTATTAAGAAAATTAATTCTTGGGCTACAGATCATATCTTAGCACTAATGAAGCTTTTTATTAGAATCCCAGGAAACTCTTTTCTTGTTGATACTAAGCATGCTGATAACAGTAACTTGTTGGTCCATTAGAGGCCATGAACGTAGAGGAGAATGCTTGAACGTGGTCTTGGGACTGAGACAGCTGATGATGGGTAAGAAATTTTTGTCTACAAATGCAATGTTTCATGTCTTTCTTACAGGTAAAGCAGAAAGAAAATGGCATAGCCTTAAAATGTTTTCAAAGCGTAATCGAATCTTTGGATTCATTAGGCTGGGAGGAGAGGCAGTTTGCTCTGGTGAAAGGACTTCTTGCGGGGAATGTCTTTGACTGGGGAGCAAAAGCAGTCTCAGAGTAGGTGTTAAATATTTTAAAAGCACCCTTTTAAGATACAGAATATCCTATTGTTCTTTTCTTAAAAAAATAAAATAAAATGCACCAATCTAATTGTAGTTTGTATTTCAGCTTAATCAAATGTTGGTTGTTTATTTACAAGCATTGGTATGGTGCGGGAAAGGTTACGTTTCCACCCTTTAAATCCAGCAGACATGTCACTGTGAATGTTTGAACTGAATGATAGAGCATTTAATATTCCAGCCTGGCTGCTTTGCTTGTAGCACTGTTATTAGCCCTGCTTTTGGGTACGTGGTGTCCTATGTTCCTAGAATACAAAACCACGCTCTTTTTCTGCAACCTCCAGTTGTCCTGCTGTCACAGCATGTATTCAGGGGGCTGTAAGTTAGCTTGGGTGGTCTCTTTTGATGACTAAATACTAATTATTTTGGATCGACATACATTTCTATTACTATTTGGAGAGCTTTTTTCCTTATATCCTGTCAGCAGCCACAAATTCATTTGAGGATATTAATGCCAAGAGTCTTGAAATATTTTTTGATTTTTCAATTCTAGAACTTTCTTTCTGTAGGGCTGATAATACAGATCCAAGAGCATGGGAGAGAGACACTGTTTTACAGCTGACATTCAGCACTTCCTTTCCCTTTCTGCATCTTTGAGGAGTTTTCCCTCAGATTAAATCAAGAAAAGTCCATTAAAACCAAACGTGGGCGTTCTTAGCCTTGTGTTCCTTCCGATGTTGCCCACAAGCAGAAACTTGAACAGACACCAGTTAGAGCAGTTGGTCTTCTTGCCACTTGTGTTAGTGTAGCGCTCATTCTCTTTAAGGAAGGAACTAAGAGACACAGACTGAACTAAACGTCACTCAGTACTAGGCTTAAGGAACCTTAGGAGGCTTGACTGGCAAGCGTTCCCCATCTGGTGTTAATATTTTAACTGATGGCTTGGGATCTAGCAGTCTCGTTATGTAAACCCTCATCACCACCTGAGTGTCTGGGGGTACTTTACGTACAGCCAATAGCAGTAGCCGGCTTGACCCTCATCACCACCTGAGTGTTTGGGGGTACTTTACGTACAGCCAATAGCAGTAGCTTTTCAAACCTGTATCTGGTTATTTTAATTCCTTTTTTTCCCCCCACACAGGTACAACTTTAAAAAAACTTTTGTAGCACAGTCTTCAAATTAGACTTTGTAAAGTTTTACGATGCGGATATTCTAGGTTGTGACTACATTCTATGGTGGTCTGCAGACCAAAAGATATCTTTTTGCCTGTAGTCTAGTGCCTGCAAGCATTTGTATATTGCTGAAGCCTTTTTCTTTTAGCATAAGAGCTCTAATTTACTGTCTGTCTGAGCCTTTTGTTTTTAACATAAGCATGAAATATCTGTTTCTCAGTCATTGGACCTATCCACATGCCCCATTATAACTGATGCAATGAGATTGCTGACCACCTGCTAAAGAAATGTTTGAATTAGATTCATGCGAGACGAAGTTGCTTAACTGTGTACCCTCTATTTCTCTTCTGATACAGTGTTCTGGAATCTGAGCCACAATTTGGATTTGAAGAAGCCAAGTCAAAGCTACAAGGTATAGGGAGATCTGTGGTGGTGGTTGGAACTGGATATTGTGTTAATATGAGAGTAGAGAAGGTGTGAACACGTTTATTGGGGCACGGGGGCTGCCCCGGTGACAAGAAATCATTAGTGCTTGCTAGGGTTATCTGAAATACAGGCTACAGGGTTTTGGTGGAATGTTCCTGTTTGTGTTCCAAAGAAACCGAGATGTGAAAACCTCTCTCCTTGAACAGAAGTCTTAGCTGCACAGATATTCAGACTATCTTGCCCTAATCCTGTCAAGGAGATAGTGTCCTGGGACGTACAGCGCCAGCCACCTAGGGTGCATTATGGTAGCCAACTTGCATGATCCCATTGCGTTATTATGGAAATTCCATTTCAAGACTGCTGTAATTGAGCTGTTCCCATAATTAAGAGCTCAGGAACTCTCTGAATCTACACATTTAACATTCAAAACCTGAGCTCAAATGCTGTAATGCTGAAGCATCTTTAAAGAGACATCTCCTGCTTTCCATAGTGTACAGAATTACTGTTTGCCTCAAATAACTGCTAACATGAATCTTGTCTGTGACACAGAACGTCCCTGGTTAGAAGATTCCTACAGTCAGTGGCTAGAGCGACTGAAGGTACGACTCCACGATTGTTACCAACCACTGAGTAAATACATTAATCATAAAATCACCTCGCTAGTCTTGGAGTTTTTAACAGATTAACAGAATTGTGTTCAGACAACTCAAATTCTGGTAACACATTACCACTCATTCAGCAGCCTTACCATAACGAAAAGAATAAAAGGAATTAAGCTGATGCTTCATTACTTACCAAGCTTCCAGGCTGAATTCCTTCAGAAACTGCAGCACTGGGAACCCAGCGGCTTTCAAAGTCACCATATCGTGTCCCTTCTTTATCAGCTGCTTATTTCTGTACAACTAGACCCATAATTTTGAAAACTAACTTAGGTCCAAATGTAATGCTTGGGTGGTTCCTCCATCTGAGTAGCCAACCTAAAACTGGTGTTAATTTAGGAGCTGGCTGAAAGTAATTAACCTATCAATTAGCAAGGCTTGTTTTGCCTTGTGTGATTACTGTTTAGTTGAGGTTAACTGAAAAGCTTTTGCTTCTTTGTGTGAAGCTCTGTCTTGGAAATGATAGCCCAAAGGTTTGGTCCGAGCAGGCTTTTTCAAATCATTACGTATGACATTTTAAAACAAAAGTATCAGCTAGTCCTGTATAACAGTGATAATGAGGGAACTTCAAGTCCTGACAAATTTTTATTAGGAATTAAGCATTGTTCACAATAAAAATTCTTCTGCTGGTATGAACTGGAGTGAACTAAATCTCATAACATCAGATTTAGAACAAATTAAAAGGTGAATGGAGAATAGGAAATACCTTTTCATTTTAGGATGTCGCTGCCCCCAGCAGTCCATCCTGCCCTTTCCTGGCAGAAGGGAATCCTGTTCAGCCTGCAGCATGCTAGCTTGAAACAGCCCCGAAGGAAGGTTTACCCTGATAGCCAGCGCCTTCCTGTAGGCAGCTGCCCATGCTGCTGCTTCTGGTTTAGAGACTGGCGTTCTCCAGCCGCACGGCGTAACAAACCAGAAGCCTTAAGCGAGTCTCCAGACAGGAGGAGTAGAGGCCTAAGGCCCCCCCAGTCAGATGCCTCTGGGGTACCTTCCTGCTCCGAGCTGCTGGCGTTAGGCACGGCTGCAGTTGGCAGCTGTGGGTTTTGTTAACGGAGTTTGAAAGACTTCTCTCAAACAAAGTGAAGTAACTAAAGGCTGTTTTAAGGAACTCTGCAAACACACCGTTAGGGAACACGATTTCTCCCAAGGTGGAGGGTAGGTGATGTTCTGATGCGTTATGCTGCTACTAGATAAAACCAAAATTGCCAGTCATTTAAGGGTATAAAATGCGGGGCCTTGAAGTGAGTGGTTCTAAATAACACGAACTATTCACTGACGTCAATTGCGAACGCAGTCCTGAACACGTTGGTTTTTCTCTTACAGGAGGGTCCCCCTCATAAATGTGCCTTAATTTTCGCAGATAACAGTGGAATAGACATAATTTTAGGAGTCTTTCCTTTTGTCAGAGAGCTCCTTTCTAGAGGGACAGAGGTAAGTGGCTTTCATTGTGACTCCACTACGTAACGGAGCTTTGGTAATTGGCAAAAGGTCTCTTACCTGCCTACCAGCAGTGCACGCACTTACCAGACTGGCTCCTAACAGCTAAATTGGGAATAATCCAAGTCCCTGGAGTGCCAAAGTCTAACTTTAAGTAGGCTCTGAAAGCTGGCAGAGCGATGGGAGCCTCTGTCAGACCTAAGTTTGCTGAGCAAGGGTCTCTAATGTCAGAAGACCTGAAATAGCTGATTAACGGCAGGAAAACAAGGACTGGGCCTCCAGCCTTTCCCTTCACATTTCCTCTTTAGTAAGATAAATCAGGCAGTGGTGATGTTAAGCAAGCAGCTCTGACACCATATGTGGACTGCATTAATTGGTGAACTCTTCTGACATCTTTACCTCAGGTTATATTGGCTTGTAACTCTGGCCCTGCCCTAAATGACGTCACCTACAGCGAATCCCTGATTGTCACTGAGCGGATAGCAGCCATGGATCCAGTTATTCAGTAAGCATATCACCGGTCTTCCTCATGTATCATACAAGCCAGAGAAGGAAAAAGCCAGTTCCTTGTTATATACTTGGCTCATATTTAACTGTTCATTAGTGTCTGAAATGTACGACCTGGAGGTTAGCTAAGGCAGATCATTTACTTTCATTAAGGTGAAGAATTTAGAAAACAGCGCTTTCTTGAACGTCCGTAATTGTATTTCTTGTCTGTCGTCCCTGATAAGCACTCAAGCTCCTAAAACATACATTTTCTATGTTAAAAAGAACAGAGGAGAACACATCTATTCTGCATACAGCGTACCCCCGGCTGGGGATACGTAGCTGACTAAATAATCCTTCTGCCCAAGGAAACACTGTGTTTCTTGGCAAAGTCCTAGCAGGAAAAGAAGCCTTTGCGAAGCAGCCTTAGCTATTCGTTGTTGTCTGGCTTATTACCGGCTTTGCTTGACCCTGCTGAGGTAGCTGTTTAACCTTTTTGCCTTTCTTTTTTTTTTTTTTTTTTTATAAAGAACTGCCCTGAGGGAAGAGAAGCTGCTGTTGGTTCAGACAGGTTCGAGTTCCCCGTGTCTGGATCTAAGGTATAGCGGCAAAGTGCCAGTTTGTTATTTGTCTCCACCAGCTGCAGGATGTTCAGAGACTTAGCTCTGGAGCATCTCGGGCACCTGTCCTGATACAAATCACTTTTGCAAAACCATGAAGAGTTGCTTAGCCTGGATTTACAGGCTTGTAACATTGATCGAGCCTCACTAGCTGTTGGCCGCCTTATGTTAGTGTTCAGCAATGACACGCTGACAGTTTCATGAGCAGCTTAGGGACGACGTAAAGTCCTGCATGTGACCAAGAAATCCACTTGACTATGAGAAGCGTTTCATGTTGTTAACCTATTTATTTTTAATGAGTTTCTCTATTGGAGGCAGAACTTACCTGTGTTTTCTGGGAAATCCCAGTCCTGCATGCAGTTAATGAGGCTTTTAAAACTACGTTTCCTTTGATTTCAAGTGTTCCTGTTTGTTGGTGCCAGTAATTCCATATCCCACCACATCTTATGCAAATGCCAAAGCCCTCAGGACAGCCTGCCTTCCATTCGTAGCATGTGTGAGGATGACTCTTTCTAAACCGGCCCTCTCGTTTCAGCCGCCTGGATAAAGGTTTGGCTGTGCTGGTCAGAGAACGGAAGACAGACTTGGTTATCATTGAAGGCATGGGCCGTGCCATCCACACCAATTACTACGCGGCTTTGAAGTGCGAGAGCCTCAAGCTTGCTGTTATCAAAAACTCCTGGCTTGCGGATCGTCTGGGAGGGAAAATTTTCAGTGTCATTTTCAAGTATGAAGTGCCATGTAAATGATACGGATCTGGTCACCCGGGTGAACAGGAGCAGCAGAATGGACTTGCACTAGTTTTACTTTAACTGTAAAGAATGTATTTTTATTACAACAGGGAAAAGAGTTCACAGGAAATTCCGTATTTATATTGTGCTTTTGTGACTTAAAAAGCAACAATATGATTCACTCACTATAGTATACACACTCAAATATATATATGTATATCACTCATTGTTTATTTTGGTAAGTGTTTATTTTAATGCTGCAGTATTTGTGATGAAAAGACTTTATTTTTTTGTTCTGTGAGACATTCATATAGAAATATATTTAAATGTCAATGAAACCTTTTTTTATACATCTCTGCCTACTCTACCAGCGATGACATGGCACATACCAAATAGTTTTTAAAGTGCTGAGTGAAGCTGACATGGCATTTTCCATGCCAGCTTTCAGACTTACCTAAACCGTTTCATGCTCTTTGCAGTTAATTTGCCTGAAGGACTGCGCCACCTTCTAACCCAAGAGCCATCGCTAAGCTGTGTTTAGGATAGAACTGTGGTGATCTGAGAGTGTGCAGCAGAGAACCCAAGAGCACTCGTTTACCAGCAGCTGGAAGAACTCGTAACTCCTATTGCTTTCTCTGTTTGTCCTTGTTAACAGTTGGGTGGGAGGGGATTCCTGCTCCTAGCCTGAACGCTGTAGCTGGGAGTGGAGTCGCACTAAGCTACGCTCAAAGTGAAAGTGTAGCGGTTTTGTCAGGAGCGCCCAGCTATTCTCCTGTCACAGGCACATTAGTTTCTGTTGCCATCAGTTATTTAATGCAGGGACTGAGAGGAATTGGTCTCTTTGTTCACGCGGTGCAGTTAAAGCCATTTCCAAGTAACAGAATTTGCTTTTTTTTTTTTTTTTTGCCCTCCATCATCAGCTGTGCAGTACATAAAAGGAGCGATTTACCCATGAATTTGCAAACCAGCATGTGCATGCATCAGTCATTCCAGCTCTGAAATGAAAAACAGCTTAATTAGAAAACTATTTAATATGCAACTGAGCTAACTGTTCCCCGTGAACTTCAAAGATGATGCTTTGAGAGCAAGTGACTAATGCAGACTGCCCCTTACTGCCAACTTGCACTTTGCTTTAATTGACCGCTCACCAGCCTGCATGCTCCAGTACTGTTGGATTGCAGCTAGCAGTCCTCGCCCTAAACACTCCTCCGTCAGGTTAACGAGGACAAAACATCCTCTGTAGCGCAACAGGGAAACTCATCCTGCGGTGGGAAACTCACAGAGGACACGCCTGGGCCGTGCGTTTCTGAAGTCCGGTAGCTCCTTCATCGCGTGGTCTCCCTTCCTCGGGTTTAGGCCACTGCAGAGCGCGCAGCTAAGGCCTGCCTTTTGGGGCTTTATGCAACAGAACTGGCGTCTCTGATTCAAAAATGACCCTCGCAGTGACCAGCATCTTCTGCTGAGAAGAGGGGAAGAGCACAGTCTATGACTAAAAGGTTTAAGAAGCCGTTGTTCTTGATTAGAGCAGTCAGATGAGAGCTTTAATTGTCAGGATTGTACCTCATACTGTAATTAGTAAGCAGAGGCTTCGTATTAACCTATCCCACGGCACTTACTCCTACAGGCACTCATGTACTTACGGAAACTCCTAAACTAAATACGGAGCCACCATCTTAGCCAGCTCAAGTTTAAGTTGTTAACATCCCTTGTTTTTAACACTTACACTCTATCCCATACCAACTTAAATTCTTCCAAGCCACTTCATTTTCTTCTGTATTCAGCTCCTGAAGTGCTCTCTGTGTGTGTTTGTAATTAGAAACTAACACTCTATAGACTTGCAGAAAAACATCTTTCTACGGTGATGTAGTTCCTATGAGATACAAGTGGTATAAGCCTAGCCCATGCCCCTTCCTTAAGCAAAACATTCTCAAGCATTGGCCCTCCCTGAAGTCTCCTGGCTTTGTCTTGTATTTCCTTTTATACGTAGACGAGCGCACATTTCTTCCGTGAAAACGGAGCAACAAGATTTCTGGAAAACAAAAGGGGAGGGAACAAGGGGGTGAGCTCTTCTGTGGCACAGAATCCACCTTTCAAGTGTGCACAACCCATCCGTTGGAAAGGCTGGCGAACAGGAACACCAAGGTGCACACGCAGCTGCTCGTGCTGTTTCATTTACACGTGTTTTCCTGCTTGTCAAATGACTTTAAAATAGCCATACTTGAGAATAAACTTGTTATTCATGAGTTCCTGTCCTCTGTACACACTCAGCATACGGAAATGCAGCGTGGCCGCCTAGGAATTGCAGTGTGTGTTTCTGCTCAGTACCCGTGGGGGGGGTGGCGGGGTTGTTTTATTATTGTTACCCTGTTCGGGCTACAAAACTATCACGCAGCCCAAGCCGTGAAATTTCAGAGCTTTAAAGAGTAAATACACAGCGCGTCTTCCGCCCTCACCGCACCGCTTTCCTTAGGAAAAGCAAGATCCCTATGGGAATCCAGCGTTGGGCGCTGGTGCCCAGCTTGTCCGTGCTAAACAGAAGGCAAAGAGCTCCACCCTTAGGTGTCCATCACCTACCTTGACGTGCCCAGCAGCGTGCCTGCTCTTATTCGACAGCTCCACCACAGCTGCGATCACTCCCAAGGCCAGGCCGATTGCAAGGGTAAGAAAGAGCCCGCCCAGCGCCTGGGGCTGCAGGGGGCTCCATCCGTCCCTGCTCTGCTGAAGGCAGCTGGTCTCCCACCACTTGTTACGGAAGTAGTCAAGGTCACCCGATTCGCGCAGTTTGAGGACGGCCACGGAGAGCTTCTTAGTCCACTGGGATGCTGGAGCAGCAGAATGAAAGAGAGAGAAGAGCATGGGAGAGATCACAGCCGCTGCATCATTTTTAAGCAATCCGCTGCTGTGCTACCAAGCAGGGTTCGCTTGCAGAATAATGACAGAGCAAAGGTGCTTGGAGAAATACCAGCCGTCGTGCTCCACAGGAGGACAAACTCTCCACCCTGCGAACTGCATCAGCAGCTCTGCATTACTGGGACCGAGGCAAAACCAAAGCAAAGCCAAAAAACCCACAGGAGCCAACGACACCCCGAGAGTCGGAACTGTTTGCAGTTCAAAGTAAGGGTCGGTGAGTGCTGGTGGTAATTCACCTACAGAAAACGTTGCGTAGCAGGGTTACCAGCTTGTTCCCGCTAGTGCGGACAGTGCGGGCAAGTTTCGGCACTTGGCTATGCCAGGTTCTTTGCTCTGTCAGTCTGCTACTATGGACCCCTGAAATCCCGGTGGAGGAGTGGGCCAGAAGCGGCGCACAGTGACTAACCCTGGGTAGTGGCAATGCCAAATCCTCTGGCTCCAATAACTTCGGGGGCCCTGATCAAATTGCAGTGCCTGGCAGCTGCAAGGTCTTGAGAGATCGATTCACCGATGAAGGCATAGTTTGATTCCATCACGCGTTGAACTGCTTCCTGGTAGGTTTTGACTAGAACGTGGTCTCGTCTCTTGTCCATATATTCATAGATCATCTGGTGGATAGGATTCTTGGAGTTCTGCAGCCCAAAAATCCAAGTGTCAAACTGAAGCGTAAAGCAATCATCCGAAATAATCTGCACATATGCGCAATGACTGCAAAACGACCTGGAGAATAAAGGTACTTAAACCATTGCCCCTTGAGCCCTCTGTGCTATAGCCAGCACAGGTTGCCTCTCTAATGCACGGTGTTACAAGGATAGAAGTATTAAAAATCCTCCGCCCCGCCTCCTCCCCCCAAACAACCTTTGCAGGCATCCGGTTAATGTACCCAGAAATTACCTACGTCAGTCCTTGTGTTCAAGGTACACAAGGATAACCCCTGAAGACTAGCACCGCTTTCTTAAAAGAAACCAATGATGTTATGTGAAGTCTTACAGGAAAACTGATGGAGTCTACAGCGATGAGGGTGGTGTAAGGACCGTTAGGCGTGAGCTAGACAACTTGGCCCCAGCTTAGCAGCTCTACGGCACGAGTGTGTGTGCGCAAAGAGATTCTCTGCACCTTGAAGAAGTAGAAAGTAGAGGAGCCGTCCAGGGTCCCAAACTCAAGCTTTCTTTGCTTCACAAGATCTTCAAAAGTCTGGATTGGGAGCTGCTCGCTGCCAGAGCTCAGCAGAGCGGTGAAGTTGGCGATGTAGGCAGCCAGCAAGGCGATGGTGAACAGCCACCAGACGGCAGCGATGACCCGCACAGAGAGCGCTTTGGGCCGAGGGGTGACGCCTGCACAACCAGAGGAGCCGGGGAAACGTGGGAGGAGACGTACAGAGAGAGAAAGCCAAAGAACTTTAGATCCATGAGTTAAAGACTTCCCTTTAAATAAAGGCTAAACCGCAAACTTGCCCTGCAGCTACTTAAAGCGCGAGCCTGAAAAGACCTACTATGGCTCGTTTGAGCTGCATCAAAACTGCACGCGATGCAGAATTGAAGCAACATCAGTGGCCAAAACCAACAACAACCAACTCCACTCTACACAGCACCAGTGCAGTGGTGAGCCTGACATTCCCTAGGGCAATTGTTCAATTGTTACAGCAGAAAATACGCATTCCTCAACTGAAAGAATCTGTACAATTCCAACAAGTCTGTAATCAAAAAATCCCCAAACTGGGAGTTTTAGTGTTGCCAGGTGTCCCTGTTGGAACATCTTTTCCCTCCACAGGATAGCACGCTGGCGATACAGACAGATGAGAGCTGGATATGCCATCAGCTTAAAGAAACAATCCTGCTCCCAGAGCTTCTTTGTTGCGGTTCTCCCAGCTCACCTTGCAGGGCAAGTGCTCCTGCTCCAAACCAGAGGCTGTTTAAGAAGGTAAAGTTGTTCTCTTCATTCTTTGGCTCATTCCATTCACAGGGGCTCAGTCTGTGGGAAAATGACAGGATAAAACCAGACATTCAGGGGCAAAAACTGTAAACAACCCTGCAGTGTGACTGCAGCAGTGCAGATAGCCTGGAAACGCCCCTTCCTTCCATGGCACCACCTCCTTCACCTGAGCTCCAGTTTAACCAGTGCAGAGGAAAGTACTCCTGCTCAATGCCTCAATTAGTTTGCAACAGTGATGGCTCAGGGGGTCCTGTCACGGGTTTGCCAGACGCTTTCTTCCTGAGCCGCGGCATAATCCAGTTTCCCTGGCACACCTGAGTGGCAACATTGGCTCCGCTCCATAATATCAGACTGACGGCTGCTCCTTGGAGCAAATCCTTACCTATAAAAATTGTGCATAAAACTAGAAAAGAAGCAACAGAGCTTCTGTTCAAGCCCGCAGCTGCAGAGAGCCTTAGTGCAGCCTAACCAAGAAAGGGGGGATAAAGCTGAATCTCCTGGGAAGGCAGTGGAGTGGCAGAGAGAATCTCTTCCACAAGTCAGTGCAGGATGCGGTGCATACAATGCACCAGGAGAGAGACCGGCACATAGGAACATGGTCAAAGTTCAAACCAAACTTTGATAAAAGCGAGAAAGAAGAGCTGAGGTAAGACATACAGTCCTTTTAACAACCCTAGGTAATCCACACCAGGAGATTTTTTGTGGGAAGGTCCTACTCTCAATGCTGTCTTAATCCAACATGACTGAAGCTTTATTAGCCCTGGTTCTGGACATGTACAGAAGGTTCCTCAAAGCAAAATGCGCCCTGATGCTTTCTTCAAAACTGAGATCTCTTCGTAGCTGAGAAAGCAGTTACTTGGAACAAAATCTGTGAAACAAATTCATTTATACCTGGCAACAAGAAAGAGGCAGAAGCACGTCAGCACGTAAGCGAATAAAAGGCCAGTCCAGGTCTCCTTACTGAAAGGAGCCAGGAAGTGGAAGAAAGACATCTCCTGAGAGACGGTGTCTTTTCGAAGCAAGATTCCAATCCCCGTCTGCAGGAATGGTGTGGTGAAGGAGACCACCTCTTCTCTTGCTGACGTGACCGTCAATGGAGCCACTGCAATGTCTGCTTCCTAGAAGATGGAGATAAAAAATAATCAACCATCCAACCTACTTGAAGATTTCTGTCACTCAAATACAATGCTTCCCCAGCTGAGCGGGCAGATACCGACAAGGCAAATCACTTCTCTGTGTTGACAGCTGCCATCTTAGACTGTGAGCTCCAAGAAATAGGATAGTTTTCAGTTTTGCATTGTTCATAGTGGGGTGCTGGTTGGTATCTGGGGCTTCTGGTTTCCTACTAGAGCATCACATGCACAAGCTGAGGCTGTGCACCGTGAACCGTGCTGGTTTTGTTTACCAAAACCAGAAGGCATGTTCCTTTCTTTTTCTGGCTGCATCATCTACACAACTGACAGCTGGACACAGGACCGAGTTCAGAGGAGCAAAGAAAGTTTAACTGAAATGTTACCAACTGATGGCAGAACACTAGCCATAGGGAATGGCCCATGGTGGGGGAAGGTGCATTCAAGCACTCCTTGAAGAGCCTAAGGGATTACCATTCCGAGAGGGACAAGTTTCTCCTACTGGCTAAGTTCAAGGTAAGTTTTCCTTAAAGCCATTCATTATCTTTGTTTCATTAGTGAGCTAAGATGACCTTGCTGTCTCTCAGACTACAAACACTGGGTAGCCTCTGAGACAAGAGAAGCACAGCACCAGGAGGGCCTTGTTGTAACGATGATTTCCTGCTATGGCCATTGTCTCCTTGTTCCTTAGTTTCCCTATTTGCAGGACAAAACCAACTACCAGTCTTGCTATTCATTAATTCTACACAACAGGCAGAATGACTCCAAGTTGCTCGGTCCCTGAGAGTCCAAGAGCTGCCAGCGCTGTTCTTTCCTTCTAGAGCTGCAGTTTGTCAAAAACAAGAATTAAAAATTACCTGTCTCAAAATCTCGCCGATCATCCCTGTCCAGTTCCCACTGGAAGAGACGGCACCATACTGTCCATCTCCCACCACCTTCACCTTGTAGCTGAAGTGAAGCATCGCAGCGAGTGCTCTCAGCAAATCAATGCAGTAGCCCTCCAGCTCTGCACTTCTCACCATGACATAGGGATCTTCCTGCACGTTGAGGGAAATACACACAATCACATGCTCCCACAGTCTGCAGCGCAACTGATTGTGAATTAAACCATTTTTTTGGCAAACCCTCCCCAAAGACCTCAATCCACCTTATCAGGGGGACAACATTTCCAAACTTGAAAGATATTCACTGGCCTCACGTGCCACCAGCAGTCACAGCACAGCTCCAGCAGGACAGCTGCATCCTACAAGCCACATCTACCACAGAAGTAAGTGATAATCTCTTCTCAGTCTAAAAGCCCAAATGCTTTTTATTTGGCCCATGAAAGCATCACATGAGGTTCATGTGCTGGTGCAGAACCTGACATCAGAATCAGAAAATTTACCACTGCAGCTTCTTCTGCATAGTCCTGCTTGTCTGGTGCATGTGGTAATGTGTATTTTTTTTTTTTTTTATAGCCTGTTTTTAATCCCTGCACATGTGTGATCTTTACATATTTCCACTACAGGACAGAAACAACAAATAGGTAACGTGACAACCCTTAGATGTAGCTAAGCAGAGTGAAGAGGCCTGGCTGTCTTCACAGGGCAGTCATTTACAGAAATCCATTTTGTGGGCTGACTTTGCTAGCCCTCAAATCCACCCACTGCAAAGTACAGAGAGCTTGCACCTCTGCACCACCGACCCAGCACTCCAAGAACACTCTCGGTGTTGAACAGGGATATCAGTGTCAAAGGCAGGCCGAAAAAGCACCTGCAAATATACAGGTAGGAAAAAAAAAAAAGGCAAAGTGTAATTCCAGCTATCTCCCAGCCACTATCAGCGTTGTGTCACTACCTTACCAGAATTGTTGTGACAGTCAAAGTTGGAAGACCCTCTTCTGATCCCCTGGAGTCAGTGCCCTGCAAATCAAAAAATAAAGAAGAAATAATTGGATTTTAATGTCCCAGGCATGGCCCCACTTAGCTAGGGCTTACCTGGGGTGGGTGTCGGAGGGGGTGTACGTGTGTTAAACCAGCTATAAATCCGTCCCTGTACGCTGTAGCAAGCTCACCACCACTGTTCCCTAACATTAATTAATAAATCACAAGCATTGCACTTTTTTGCATGTTGTCAGCATACTTTGTCCGAGTAAAAAGCACTTTAAATGTTGTCACAGTTCTTCAGATACACAGTGCACGCAGTCTTCCAAAGAGATCAATTCAGGTTGCTGACAAAACAGCAGCCAATTAAGGTCTCATTAGAGAGCAATTCCAGGAGACACAGAACAGTAGGAAACCTGAGAGGAGGAGGAGAGGAAACATGGATTTGTTTCTGCAGGGAATGCTGGATTCAGGAGTACACCTTCCAGCCGTACAGAGTCACACGGCTTGAGAGGATTTCTCATCAGTGCTACTCCAGAGCAATTCAAGCTTTTGCCCGTAAAGCAGACTAATTCTGTAAGATTTGTTGGTCTTAAGTGTATCCCTTTATTCTAAAAGTGTAAGAGTGCGCGTGTGTTCTGGAAGCAATATCGTTATTGCCAGATAAGCTACAATTTGCTCTTAGATAAACGCAAAAAAGTTATGTTTCTTTTCAGGTCTCTTTAAAATGTTTATGCCTACTGAACAAGAGGGTGAATAAAACAAAAGACCAAAACCTCCTGGCCTATCCCTCTCACTTGGCTTCACCCACCACTTATAGGAGGTTTCAAAGTGGTTCTCAAAACAAATCTCAACAACATACTACAACTTTTGTAACTATACCAGGAGAGTATTTTATTGGCCAAAAGTTGCAGGGTTTCCATAGCAGGAGGGTGGGTGGGGGTGGCACAGGGGTGACCTCTGCGGGTCACAAACTGCCCAGCGCTGGACACAGCCACTTCCAGCCGACTTAGAAACGGACAAAACAGACCCACAGGGCACCAAAGCTGAACGAATCGGACAAGTTTATGGTGCCTGTGCAAAAACTTCTTTACAAAAGGGTGGTAACTGCTGGATGAGAGACAAGGCTAGAGCAGGAAGAGACACAAAAGCCAATGTCAGGTCAGGAGAGTTGCCCGAGCAGGGGCAAAGGAGAAATAAGAAAGCTACCAGTGGGAGACAGGCTGGAGAAGAGCCACCCCAAGGAGGGACAGAGAGGAGCTGCAGGAGGAGGTACAGCTGTAACAGGGCTGGAGGCAGCGGTGGAACCTGCAGAGGAGCAATTGAGCAGGGACCCCAGAACGCTGACCCCAATCTCCTGCGCCGCCCTGTTGCCTCACCAGAGGGAGGGAAGCTAACTTGCGTGCAACAAGGGGACTGGAGACCAGGGAGAGGGGAGGACAAGAGGAGAGATGAGATGTGTTTCTCTGAGGTTTTTTGTTTGCTTGTGCTTATTTCTGAATACTGGAATCAACAGCTGGAGATTTATGCTCATTGAAACTGATTGAAATTCCATGACTTTCCCCAAAACTCTCTTGTTGGCACACACAGGCATCCAGCATGCTGTGAGATTGAGAAGTGAGCTGATATTCAGGTGACACAAGTTCTGTCTCTACCTATGCCATTTGGACAGTTAATTTCATTTCCCAATGCTACCATAACCAACATTCCCATCATTTTTGATTGGAAAGTCTTCAGGACAAATACTGTCCTGATTATGTGAATATTTACATGTTCCAGCAGGGTAGATTTTAAGTGACATGTGCCATCTTTCTTCCAAAGCCTGAGGGATTACGTCCCACACAGACCCTTTTTATATGAAGTGCAAATTTTGGGGAAAAAACCCACACATCTTAAGAACTAATAAAGGTATCTCTGCATGTGCATATGTGTCTGAATTTTCTTCGATGTTAAGAAGCTTATAAAGATCATACATGATGGAATAATTCTGAGGTTTAGATTCTATAAGCCCTGAAGACAGGGCTATAGGCAGATTCTTCCCTGGGGCATGACAGAATTTTCAACTCTGGACAAAAGATTGAGTTAAAAAAAAGCACAGACAGACTTAGAAATGGCCATCATTAGTAATGAAAAGTATATTTAAAATAATAACTCTCACGGATTAAAAGCATTGCATTCTATGACCGCATCTATTTCTGGATTTAAAATGCAACACCTTTTGCACATATGCCTTCATTGGTAGCTCTGCACCAATGATCTTAAACATACCTTACGCACAGCATCACCATTCCTTGTAGTTCCTGAAAAAAACAACAACAAAATAAACTTCTTGCAGGGCTTATATTTACAGCTCCTTAACAGCGAAGTTTCCTACCGTCATTTCACATTGCACTTAAATAAATAAACAGAATGAGTATCCTTGACTCACAAGCTCACGGTGCAGTTGACTTGCAGCACTTTTGTCAAAGTTGGCTTCCTTGACCACAGCACAGCATTAGTGTGAAGCCAACAGAAGCAGACACAGCCAGATTCAGGATGCAGAAGGTCCTAATTGTAACTTAATGATCATGGCTGTCACTCCCACATTGAGGAATGGGTTCTGCAGAATCCATTGCCTTATTTCCCTATCGCCCTCCCTGACAAGGTGAAAAGCCCTCTCTCCTGCTACTTCACACAACTAAGATTTCCCCCTAACTCCTGCAGAACCTTGTCTATACCCCTAAGGAAAAGCCCTGTAGACAACCAAAAGTTTACGTTCCAAGACACTAGGTTTTCTTACTCTTCCCTTCCCCTACTAATGACAGCTTCCTACTGCCAAAGCAGCCAAAGGGGTTGCAACCACTGGGGTAGAAACCCTTCTCCACCACGTCCTACTCCATTTCCCCCTCACATTATAAGCACCCTGACTTTTCCTTCCTGGGAAAATTAAGACCTCCCAAAGGGCCGTGACCAAACCCAGGAACCAACAGTGTCAGCACTGAAGAAAGAGGGACCAGGAAGCCTGCCTTGTGGTGCCTGCCCCCTGTATCCCATCAGGGAACAGAGAGCAAGGGAACTACTATAAACTGACAGATTTTAAGCGTGATGAGAGCCAGCGTAACCCTGTAGACTGCACTGAGTGAACACCAAATGCCAAACTGTCAAATCCGCTATTGACCTTCTCTGTAGTACTTCTCCTTCCTATGCCTCAGTTTCCCATTTGTAAAACAAAGGTAAAGATATTCCCCTCTTTGGTAAAAACACTGAGATCCACCTGTAAAAGTACTGTTATTGAGGATTATCATGCCTCTGGGTTGTATGCTCTGCTCTGCTGTGTGACTTTCAACCAGCCCTGTTAAATTATTTGGTCTACAGTTTCCCTTTCCGTAATACTCAGAATACCTCAATCCCACCCCAGCTGCAAGAGACTCTCAAACTACAATGATTGAGATGCTGAATTAAAACCACGATTGTGTTGGTATATGATTCATTAATTGCCCAGGATGTTTTTTCTAGAATGTGTACAGCATTGCTCCTTGGAATCAAAGAATTCACAGAGCAAAAGCCAAAAATCCCTCAAGATAAAACAAAAAATTTAGGGTGTTTTCGCTCTTTCAAGCAAAAGCTGTGAGTTTTTCATTAAATATAACAACATATTCATTCATTATGTATTATTCATTCTTTGGTTTTGCATTTTCTGGCCTTGTGCTGAACTCCACATTATTGTAAAACAAAACCTGCTTTTTCCCTCTCCACTACAGTTCTCCATGGGAGCTGGAAATCTTCACAATGGAGTTCTCTTGTCTCCCTTCAGAAACTCATTAAAGCCAGTAAAAGCTTTTTGAGGCTCCTTTTTGAAGACCTGCTAGGGTTTCTTGGAAGAAAACAGTCTGTACTGAGGGCTTCAGCTCCCCCACAGTGGCTCTGGATGCAGCTGTTCAAAGCCCCATTGTAAGAACTCCTGAAAGGACCATAAGTAATCACGTTGCAGCATTAACTCAAAATTCGTTGCAGTGACACTTCTCAGAAGCCAAGTCCTCATTGTGAGAATCCTTTGTGAGAGTCTACAAAAACATAAGACAAAGACAAGAGGCTCATCCCTCCACTCTTGTTCCCCAAAGGCCAGTGGCTGCAGGAAACGACTGTGGTTGCAAATCCCCCTTCTACTCGGAGCATGCCCAGCCTTCTGATGGGAGATGCTTAATTTCAATGATAGAATGGCTTGGGTTTGAAGGGACCTTAAAGATCCTCCAATTCCAAGCCCCGTGCCATGGGCAGGGACACCTTCCACCAGACCAGGTTGCTCAAAGCTCCATCCAACCGGGCCTTGAACACTTCCAGGGATGGGACATCCAAAGCTTCTCTGGACAACCTGTGCCAGTGCCTCACCACCCTCAGAGTGAAGAGTTTCTTCCTTCCATCTAAGCTACACCTACCCTCTTTCAGTTTAAAGCCATTAGCCCTTGTCCCATCACTACATGCCCTTGCAGAAAGTCCCTCTCCAGCTTTCTTGTAGGCCCCTTCAGGTGCTGGAAGGCTGTGATAAGGTCTCCCCAGAGCCTTCTCTTCTCCAGGATGAACAACCCCAACTCTCTCAGCCTTTGTAAGAGAGGGTCTCCAGCCTTCTGATCATCTTTGTGGCCCTCCTCTGGACTCGCTCCAACAGGTCTGTGTCCTTCTTATGTTGGAAGCCCCAGAGCTGGATGTAGGGCTCCAGGTGGGGCCTCGCAAGAGTGGACTAGAGAGGCAGAATCCCCTCCCTCGACGCTGGCCACGCTGCTTTTTGATGCAGCCCAGGATACAGTTGGCTTTCTGGACTGCAAGCCCACATTGTTGAGTTGTGTTGAAAAAGCTTGTAGCACTGTTAAGAACTGGACACCTCACCCCAATTTTCTACTCCATCCTCCCTCTCTAGGGTAGTACCCTTGCTTTTGCATCCTTTGCCAGCATTTCCCCTTTTGTAGCTTGTGACCAGGAAAAAGAGTTGAACTAAATGAGAGGCGATGGGTCAGGTGGATTACAGTTTTGGGGTACACTGGGACATTCAGGATGAAAGAATTCTCCATATGAGAGAATTTGGCCATCGTCACAGAAGCAAATGGCTGAAGGATCTGTAACCTGAGGTGAACTGCTGCTACCACCACTATGCAATTACCAGCTCTGGGTAGGTAGGAGCTGGGTGTGTGAGATGGACAGGAGACAGCAGAGGAAGCGCAGCTGCTCTCTCAACCCTCTAAACAGAGAGCCAGCTTTTATCTCCTAGTAATGTTGCAAGGTCAAGCTACTCCTTAGCCTGAGCCTGGACTCCAGGCACAGAACACCGAAAAGCCACAATAAGATCGAAACAATAGCATTTGTGGCTCAGTTGCAAAAGCAAGCTCCCCAGCTCCTCACACTGGGAGCGAAGCGTGATCCGACCGGCTGATGAGTGTGCAGGAGCCCCTGGCAGGCTCCTACTGCTGTCCCTTAGGAAATTCAGGGGGAACACAGTGTTACCCTTTGACTACAAAAAGTCGGGGGACTCACAGAGCTGACAAATTCAATGCACTGAATCCCCTCTTCTTCCCAAAACAGGCCAGGAGCAGAGGGGCTAAACAAGTAACATGGAAAACATTACTCACAGAAGAACAAGCTAATCAGCGTATCTTGCTGCAGTTCAAGGGAGGGTAGACTCAGAATTCTGAGTGCAGCTTTAACCACAATAATGGTGTTCAAGGACACCTAACCATGCTTTTTTCTAGGCTTTTTTGGACCTCTGTCATCTGATTTACAACTATAGTAGCAAAGACACTTAGGAGCAGCACTCATAACATGATAAAGTCATGATGACAAGCTGTGACAACAAGGTAGGCCCTGCTGATGTTTTAACAACCAATTTGGAAGCAAATTCTTAGATTAAGACAAAATCCTGTAAGCACTAGCAGCTAAAGGAATTAACACTCTGTAAAGAAGCATAAAACCAGATTTGGATGCAGCCAAGCATTTTTGGATCATTTTTCTCACCTGTCTGGCTTGATTCTCTCAGGAGCAGCATGGTTGTAATCACACAGAACATGAAGTGAAGCCCTTTGTCCATTGGAGCACAAATATCTACTGTCTAAAGGAAACTTCCTGCTAGAGATGAAAGGCAAGGAGTTAAAGCTGGTTTTACAGTTCCTCATTGCTGGGTTAAAATCAGTATGTCCTGGATTTTCTGCCCCTCATTCTGAAGAGTCCCAAATTCAAACAAAGGTCTCCAAGTGAAAACAAGAGTCACTTCTGAGACCAGCCATATCAAATCCTAAAGAAAAGATTCTGGTGAACGCTTCACTGCAGCGAAAAGGATGTGACAAACCTAGAACGTGCTTTTATCTGCTGGCTGTTGCACCGTTTCTCTGCCAGCCAGCTCTCCACAAAGGCAAGGTGTGCCCCAGCCGGCGCGCGGGCCCCGGGGAGAGGCAGCTGTAGGTGCGTGCAGTAACGTGTAATTTTAGCAGCCAGTTGAGCCGCTAGTAAAACAGCCTCCCCCAGGAGGTTCTCATCTTTAAAAGCGAAAACTTAATTTCACTTGCCATTTGAGTTGCAGAAAACAAAGGTGTTTATTTCATTTGCACCAAAATGATCTGAAACGAAGCTGTTTCGCCCTGCATCAAAAGACATGAGAAATTGTTTCTGAAGCCCTCTTTTGTCTCAGCCTCCTACTCTTAACAAGGAAAAAAAGGGGCGGGGGGAGGTAAGTGAAAGCCAGCATATTTTATTCACTTTTTTCATTTCAAACTCTGCAACAAAATTTCTGTGTGGCTTGAAATAATTGTACATTTGTCATTGTAAAACAGCAACAGAATTATGAAAAACAATCAATGCCAGGTTAAGTCTCAAGCTGCTGCAATATTTTTGATTGTATTTGTCAACATAGTGTCAAACAAAGTTCAAGAAACCATTACCCTAGAAACTATAAAAACCATATTAAAAATGCCCAAGAAAACTTTGCAGCTAGGAGACTACGCAGGCAAAAAAATCCTACATATGGTATTACTTGCTTCTGACTGGTGCTCAGAAAACACTGGCTTCAGTTCATCTTACCTCATCAACTTTTACCAAATTTTTCCCAAACCTGCACTCCTGTGAAAACTCTTGACTTTACAGCTCAGTAGTTTCCCTCACTCATTTTCTCCTCATTTTTCACCTAATAAGAGAGGTGAATAAAATTTACACAGAAGATTCTTTCTGGGTTAAATTTAAATGCTGTCTTTGTAGTTGTAAAGATATTTCAAAATGGGAATATTTTGATCCCTGTGAAAGGATCAAAGGAAAGGACTGACATTTGAGTTATGGATCAGCCTATGTTTTCTAAAAAGTAATTGTAGACTATAGACGAAGCAGTGGCTGTTGCCAGAGCAGCAGATGAACTGAACAGCTAAATCACCCACCAGGGCACATAAAGGAAAAGTTGCAGTGGTCTTCAGGCTGAGCCAGTGAGGAACTGCATTTTTCCTGGTAGATTTAACCTGTAAATTACTGTTATTTTTTCCTTAGAATTTGGTACATACCACGAAATGATCTTTATTTCAAGTGCCCTCCTTCAAAAAAAGCTAGTCAGAGCCGGTAATATATTGCTTGCATCACCTTGAAAAGAAAGAGCTGTTAACACACTGGATGCTGACTGTCTAAAAGAACAAACAGAGTGTAAATATATGCAAAAAAGAATTATTGCAAAGGCTAATACACTTCCTTAGCTTTAATTTAGCACTAGAGTCATTTAAGGACAAATGGAATCAGTCAGAGAGAGAAAAACAGGAGGGCAGGGGGGTTTAGTGCCTCCCAGTGTGCAAAGAGTTCCTTAGATAACTGCTTAAATCTGCCACTGCAGCATCCGTCCACCATCTACCCGAGGAGGTACTACAAAGTTTTTTCATGCTGGCTTTACAGCAAAACAAACTAAGGATTTACAAAGTTACTTTGCTAGAATCAACTTTCACTCCTCAGAAGGTTTTCAGTCTTTCAAAACATAAACAAAAAAAGACAACATTACTCCTCAACCAGTCTTCTGTCTGCAGTGCTGGAGGAAGGCATCACGATTAAAATAGCAGTGGAAAAGATGAGCAACCATCAGCTAGGAAGGAGACAGCCTGTTGCACACAGGCTTTGGTCCTTGTCATCTAGAACAAGAAGAGCAGTGATTGAAGGCAGTATCTCACTTACAGCAATTCCTTTAGCCTCTCCCAGTTCCGTTTGTCTGACTGGGCACTAGCAGAAGCAACTCGATGAACAGGCACAATGAAACTGCTGGAACACTGAATGCTCACAGGCCTTGTACGCTATTATAAAGATAAAAGAGAGGGAGGAGCCAGGCTAAGGGGCTTCTGCAGAACATGCCAGCTCCTACTGCAGACTCGAGGGGCACCTTGGGTTTTGGGAAAGAGAGGAGGAGACTACACCGAGCAAAAAGACAATTTTTGGAAGCAGTTTAGTCCAGCAGCTGAATACTACATTGAGACTCAGAAAATACTATTACTGGCCTGCTGTGTGGTCCTGTAAAAGCCCTCTCTCTTTAGAACAGTGCCCTGTCAGGCTGTGCCCATCTCTCCTGACTATAGATAGCGTAAGCTGCTCAAGACTTCCTCCACCCTGTGACTGCCTCGGGAGATCAGCCGGGGGACTCATGTATAGCACCAAAAAAACCCCAAACCGTTACATACATCTAGTATTTCCTTGCAATGCTTAGACAGCTGAAAGACCGTTAAATTCCTCTCTGGATTGTACAGTTCTGTTTAATACACAGGCACAGAAGTGAAATTCTCGTCCCCTTCACCCTTCCACTTACCAGTTTCACTTCAAAAGTGAGCTAAAGTACAACGCTGCCAAGTAGCTGATTCTGTTGGGCCAGGTCATTTATAAATACGCACATCAAGGCACTGTAATAACAAAGAAGCGCCTTCAGAGGAATTCAGCAGAGCAAACTATTACAAGTCATCCTGCAGGGGAGTTGGAACACGTCCACACTTAAAGTAAAAAACAAAAATTTACCCCCTACTTGACTTTAAGCACTGTTCAAGATGAAAAACTCTCCATCAGCCTTCACATCTTTGCCTTCTTCCCTAAGCTTTTTCTATACATGCCACTGAATAAATCAATTATTAAACATAAACACAGCTTGCCTTCTGCAGAGTCAAAAACTGCTTATATTTCAATAAAAAATGCTTAGAAGACTGCATTTGGTGAGGGGTGCTCTAACAGAGTTCAAGGGCTTGACTCATAGCTCACTGCAATTAGGGGGAGTCCTTAGATCAATTTTAATGCACTTCAGACCCCAGATGGTGTAAATCATTCTTGCAATATAAATTATGGCAAGGTGCTAAGATATGTTATAAATTATAATTACATCTTCTCTATAGGACAAAACAGAAAAAGAATCCAGAAAGATCTATTCACCTTGGGTTTCTCTTGGAGGCTTTGATCTGTTTACAGGTTCAGTTCCAGGTGCTCTCTGTGGTAGTCTGAACGCAATTTGCTCTTCACATTCTCACCTGATAGCTATGCCCTAGAGATTCTGGCAAAAGGCTGCATGTAGGGGGAAGTTAGCAGAAATCAGATAAGCTGAGGTTTCCAGCTGCTTTTCATGAATATTTTCTAGGCTTTAAAAAGATGCACATTATGGTTTGTGATTTTTCACAGCTGGCAGCTAATGAGGGCTGATAAGCTCAACTACAAGCAGCTGAAAGCATCTCAGCACAGACAAAATCAGTTTTTAAAGATACAATCAAATGTTCATCATCAGTGTTCTTAAACACTAAGTTGGAGGAATACGGACCATAAATCCCAAGTCCAGCCATGTATAACACACTGCTTGTCATTTGGAAACTTTGGGCTTCTAATCTTTCGGTTTAATGAACTGAAAACCACAAACGACAAGAGGCCTCACAGGAAGAGCTCTGGACAAGGGAATACTACTTGC